TCATAAAGAGAGTAATGGTAAATATAGTTTTGTTTATCTTTCTGTGCACCTTCAGCGGGTCGTTGATACGAGTTTCAACATAAAACGGCAAAACAATGGAAACGGCCTTTATTTCCAGACTATTTATTCTTATGACTATGTTTAAACCTAGATGGCTACTGGGAGTTTTTAAATCGACATTTTTCCGGAACATTTGTATTTGGCTCATCTTTCATAGTATGAGTTTGTTATTTTTATTAGAAAATATGTGTCAAACCTGATAAGATATTACTGTTATTAATATTTTATTTGAAAAAAAAAAGAATTTTATTAATTGCACATAAACTCCTTTTTTTTTTCTTATATATATATATATATATATATATATATATATATATATATATATATATATTATATATATATATATATATATATATACACATACTTTTTTACCATTGTTTGAAGTATCCCATCGCTTTTTTTGAAGTATCTCACTATTTCTTTTGTAGTACCTTTCTTATGAAGCATGGCACCACTTTTATCGCAAGATTTTTGAAATCTTGATTAAAAACTAAATCATCAGAAGATTTTAGAGCTTTTTTAATAGCAGTTCCGCTTCCTCCTCACAAAGTAATTTAACGATTTTAGTTAATTTCTATCTAGCTAGTTAGTAAAAGTAACTCAATGATTTAATTATTTCATTTGTTCATCTTGCTAAGAAGAATTGTTTCAAATGTGTTAAACTTTTCAAACTACGCGAAGCATAAAACAGTCATTGAAAAAACTTTTTTAATTATTAATAAATCATCTAGCGTTAGTTTTATTGGTTGAACCTTGTTAGACTTTTTAGGGCTGGGGGCTGCATTATTTTGGTGGCCTTTTTTATGTGCCACAGCGTAAAAATGACTATAAAAATACCAAATGGTCCTTTTGACTATTTCGCGGCCCCTAAAATTGTGAGTCTCGGGGCTATAGCTCTTCTACTCCCACCTCCTCAATCCAGTACTGGAAATAAGACATAAATAAAAATTATATATACTCTTTTATAAATCGAAGAACATTTGTTTCCCTATTAAACAATCATTAATAGTAGTTACTTAATATAAAAAATGTGGCTTAATTTTATAAAAAAAATTATAAAACAATGTTTTAAAAATATTTGCTTTAATCATATTTATTTTGCTTAAAGTTTTTTCGCGTTAAAAAACTATTTTTCTTTTTTTAACTGTCTCTTATCAGTCCAGTTAGTTTTTGAAATGTTTTCAAAATGACTAAAAAATCTGGCCGGTTTTTTGCAACTATATATTATTTCCGTGGTCATTATCGAGTGCAATCGCACCCGCTTCCCAACCAAGCATGAATATTACATCAGGGGTGGGTGAATCATATTTTTGCTGTTTAAGATAACTTCTAACTAAAAATAAGTAAAAATAAGCCAACTTCCAGAAGTGGAGCAAACTCCAAACATTTATATGTTTATACTTATGTCAAATAAGGAATGTTCAAAAATAATTAGAGATGCCATAAATATTCCGGTAATATTTAGTTAGTATTTGACCTATTCAACTACTTTTTTTACTACTCTGCCAAATACCAGATTGTAATTTAAAAAATTCCTAAAAAAGTATTGCATTCAACTTTTTTCTTATTTCCATACTTAGCTTATTTGATACCTAAAATCTATAGGTGGTAAGTTATGATAAAATCTTTTGAGGATAGCAAATGATTAAGTTTGTAGAGAATAATTATAAAATATAAAAACTTCCAAAAATAGTCATTAACCAATGGCAGTGTACATATTGACACTGCCACCAGCAAGTAATAAAGGCTTTTACGGTGATCAACAAAGGCAAATGGTGATCAACAAAGGAAAAGGCCTTTGTTGATCACCATTTGTAAGGGTTTCTGTAGCTATTTTGATTGGTTGAAACGTTTTTTAAAACTGAAACCAATACCGTTAAATAGCTCTGGAGAGATCAAATCATTTAAAAATCTGTGCCCATCACTTTTAAAAATCTTTCAACCATTGTCACAATGCTATTCCAAGTGGTCCGGCAATCTAGCAGTAAATTGAGTTTAATTCCCTGCTCTACTTTTACATAGTCTTGTAAAATTGAATTTCTTTTTGACCAATGTTTAAAAATCTTTATTTTTCTAATCATTTGTAAAGCCGCATTTATATTTCCTCTTTCACATATTTGCGGTTCGAAATCATTTAGATTTTGACTTTCAGATTTGCTAGAGTTATCACTGGAAAATCTAGATTCATGTTTAAATAATCAGTGTGAAAAATATTAGAATTTTCATTTCTTTTATAAATAATGTTCATTACAGCCAAGTGTATGCCGTGGTTATGCTGCAGCAGCATCAAACTATTAAATGTTCTATTTGAAAAATGGGCAAATGAAAGAAAATATAAATAGAAAAGCAACAAACCAGAATTAGCTAAAAATCGTCTTTAATTTTTAAAAGATCAAATGACCAAATATAAAATGACACACGGTTCAAAGGATTTAGCATATTGGCGAAAGAAGAAAGAAGATTGTGATATTTAACATTTATTAAGTGACAAGAGGCTCAAACTAAAAAAACTGAGCTTTCATCATCAGTACAAAGTGAGGTCTCTTTCTGTCAGAATTCAGACTATTCAGCAGACAAAATTAAATCAGGTACAAGTGCGTCAACAGTATTACCTCAAAATTAACCTGAAAAATAAGTTGCAATTACAGGTGTTTCTAAAAACATTTCATCTAGAAATATGATGCATTTACTCTCTGAGATAGTAGTTACTTCTGGGGCAGTTTGATAGTTTTTTCGCTTTCTGAATCCACCATCAGATGTGCAAAAAAGAAAGCAGTAAGCACAAGTGCAGCTAAATATCGAAAAGACATAATTAAAGCTGCAAGGCAAAGTAAATTTCCAATAATCGCACACTTTGCAAAATACTACCAACAAAAACAAACATAAAAAAAACAAAAAAAAAGTTCATATTAATGCAGCTTTCATATTGAAGACATGTTTACCAGCTTGACTGTAAACATTTTTGAGGAAAAGTTCACATTGGTAAAATTTATGCTCCTAAAAATCGGATGTTCAAAGTTTACCAAGCTAATTAGAGGGCAACAAAGGAAACTATGGATAAATCAAAGTTCAAAAAGTTTGACTAAGTTGCAGTTAAAGGAACATATCTAGAAAAACAGATTGAAGAAACTGTTGAACTTTGCAAATATGCGCTAGCAACCTAAGTATTTCCAAGAGGTGATTTTTAAAAACTAGTAGAGCTTGCACTCACCCATAAATGTCCAGATGCAAGCTTTAATGCTTATGCTCCAGGATTAGCTTACTATGCATGTTTTATGGTCAAGTCTATATATTATCAGTTATATTATCAGTTATATAAAATTCAGTTTTAAGTAATCAGTTGCCCTACCAATTGACAGCTAGTTAACATAAAGAAATTAGTAAAATGGCTGAATTTATTTCTATATTTTATGCTGTGTGGTTTGCACCTTTTCAAGATATAAAAGCATACTGGCAGATGGTCCAGAGTAGTTGTTGACTACATATATTTGCCAAATATTAATAGTTAATGACTGCTCTGAACGGGCAATTAAGCTTGTGTCAGAGTTTTATAATTCTGTTCACAATGAAGAGGACAGCCAAGATATAATGTTGGTCGTTCAGCAAAGTAGGAATCATCAAGGGAGTTCGAAAAAGTTCAAGCAACAGAGAATGGCAATTATTTGATTTTTCACCAAAAAAATGAAGAAAAGTTTGTTAGGTTATAGTTTTACAAACTGTTTTTAAAAAAGATTTTGTCATGATTATTTACTAATTTATAATTGTTGACCTTAACAAGGTTGTTATAGATTTTTCTTCACTGAAAATTTATTTTTTACCTTTTTTACTATCCCAGCTGCATGAGATTGAATAAAATAAAATTGTTTCATGAAAATGCATCTTTTGCAGCGTCTATATGATAATACAATCAAACTTTATGTAAAATAAAAACTTTAAATGGTACATACATATACATACATATTCTGTAAAAAAGTTAATAAAATAGATAAAGGGTTGGGGGAGGGGAGAGCGGGTAGTTGGGTGGAGAAACAAACCCTCTGCTGCCCACTGCTAGACCTTCTATAGAAGATCTATATTATAAATTATTTTTAATATTGAAATTTGGCTTAATTTAATCTTCATAAATAAGAATTTGATAAAATTGTCACGGAAAATTTGAAAGATAAAACAATTTATTCAATTCATATATCCATAAAATTACCTAAAATTATAATGTTTTGCCCATTTTTCCAGGGTCAAATCAATGCACTTTTTTAAAAATTTAAATTTCTAACCAATTCCAAATAAATATTTAGGCCTTTATAGAGTTCATAGAAAAAATTTGTGTTTTATTTCTATGTTTAAAGTCCCCACATTTTGGTTAAAAAAGTAGGGGTTTCGGGGCACAAATTGTAAAATTGGACACCTTAAAAATAGGTTTCAAAAATTTTTGTTTCAGCGTAAAATCATTTTTATCTAACTGTTAAACTAATCCAGGTGGTTGGGATTTAGTTTATAAAAATTGTTGAAAAATGGGGCATATATATATATATATATATATATATATATATATATATATATATATATATATATATATATATATATATATATATATATATATATATATATATATATATATATATATATATATATGTATATATATATATATATATATATATATATATATACATATATATATCTGTGTGTGTGTGTGTGTGTGTGTGTGTGTGTATAGTTAAGTATTTTAGTGTACAAAAAAGTTATGAATATAAGTTTAAATAATATGGAATTTTAGAATTGTCAAAATTAAGGTAGCACATACCAAACTAAACTTTTCTTGCTTTATGATAATTTTAAAATAAATTCATTAATTATTTATTTTTATAAATTGAAGGATTTTAACAATGATGGTTGGCCAGAACTTCTTATTTCTGGTGATTTTCGCGACAGTAAGCTGTTCTGGAATAATAGAAATGGAACCTTTATGGAACGTACAGTTGATTGTGGTATTGATGGTGCCATTGTATGTTATATAAAAAAGATTGTTATATATTTATAATTGTTTATAATACAATATTTAGCTAATAATAATAAATATGAAGATAAAGATGGTTTTAACGATGTAATGTTAACAGGAGTGTACTTTACCCAGAATGCATGTGCATATCAAAACTGTAAATTTGGACCTTCTGGAAATGGATTCTTTCAAAACGACAAAAATAGATCATTTTCAAATATTGCAAAAAATGTAATCAAATTTTTATTATATTTTAGCATATAAAAAAGTTGCCATGATGCCCCTGGCTATAATCATTGCTTAGTAGGCGTTTTATGCTTATGATTTAAAAAAAAATAAAAGCCCCTTCCAAACTGTGAAATAAACAAGTGAAATAAATATTGTTTTAATCCAAATTTTTTGCTTTTGAAAGCTTTTGTTGTTTGGTCAAAGTAATGTGTAACTAATTTTTTTTATATATTGACTTTAATACTGATTTTGTTTTTTGTAATTTCATATAAATTAAATATTTCTCCTTATCCATTTTTTTACAAATCATTAAAACCCATTTTTTTTGGAATTTTGAAAATTAACAACTGATTTTTAAAAAGTCGGTATTTGCACAAACCCTAGTGTAAATAGCCAAATGCTGATAGTATTTACATTCTTACCTTGCACATGAATCAAGCTTGTCTTGAAAAAGCTTTACATCTTTTCAGCATAACTTTTTTAAATATTTGGACACCCTACTTTTTACTATTGTTGTTGTTCCTCAAAAAATTGAAAACAAGAAAATAATTTTGTTAAATTATTTTTATAGGTTGGTGTTCAAAATAGTTTTTGGGCATGAGGAGCTTCATTTGTTGATTTTGAAAATGATAACAACCTAGATGTAGTTGTAACAAGTGGTATGGACACATTTTCAACTTCTATGGATAATGAGTATACTAAAGGAAAAATGTTGCTATTATCAGAAAGTTGGAAACCGAAATTTGGGTAACGTAGCACTTCAAGAAGGAATGCAGTTTATTGGACAAGGCCGGGGGTTGTTGGTTTTTGATTTTGAAGAAGATGGAGATGAGGACATATTAGTGGTACCAAATGTTGGCCTTGTTGATTTTTTTAGAAATGATAAAGGCAACTCAAATCTTTGGATTCATGTGGAAGCAATGCATTGGTATTTTATAAAAATATATTATTGATTATTATTGTGTGTGTATATATATATATATATATATATATATATATATATATATATATATATATATATATATATATATATATATATATATATATATATATATATATATATATATATATATATATATATATATATATATATATATATATATATATATATATATATATATATATATATATATATATACATATATATACATATATATATATATATAAATATATATATATATATATATATATATATATATATATATATATATATATAATATATGTATATATAATATATGTATATATATGTATGAGAACACCTCCTAATATTTTGTTTTAAAGTTTAAAAAATATTTAAAATTTAGTTTTAATATTTCTTTCCTATGAAAGATCAAAACTTATATTTTAAGAAACATGATCATAATTTTTCAAATTAAGTAATGATTTAGATTTGATTTAAAAAACTAAAATTCAAATTTAAAAAAAACTTCAAATCAAAAGTTCTAGTAATTTGAAAGTAGTTTTTGAAATTGATTTAAAAATCATCATCATCATCATCATCATTATCATCATCATTATCATCAGTATATGGTTCTTTGTTCGTTATTGCAACAAGGTCATCGACTCACAGGATTTTAGATTATTGCTATGCCGCTCAGTATTACCAATAAAAAAAATCTAAACTTTTTAGATGTGTTATTTTTGAAAAAAAAAAATTTAAGTAAAAACTTTAAATATAAGAGCCGTTCTAAAAAATGCATTGCATTACCGAATGCATCGAAAAAGAGGGTTTATGCATGAGAATCATAAAAATGACATTCGGGTATGTTTTTTTTATTCATTTTCTTCAAATCAAGCTATAAACTAAATAAATCCACATTTCTAAATTTTGACATTTTTCATATCATCGTGGCTTTTTTAAGTTTCTGAGTTCAAGCAAACTTTATATAATATATTAGTTAACAAATCTCGTACTTGGGTTTTCAAAAAAAACGTTTAACAAAATTTTTTTATATACGTTTTTAAGAAAATTTTTTCTGCTAGATGTTATATTTACTAAATCGAATGTCTAAAAAGTATAAACTTTGCTTTTGAAATGAAAAAGATTTTTTGGGAATTTAGTTTTAACTGTGAGGTGTTGCATTACCAAAACTACACAGGTTGCATTGCCGAAACTTCTGGTTTTCGCTTATAAATGAATTTGAAAGGTCTATTTTGCAATCATTTTTAAGTTATTATTTTAAGATAAAACTTGTTTACTCTTTTTTATCCAAAAAATAAAATCGATGCAAATAATAATTGTAAAATCGTGTAGAAATTATTCAAAGTCTCAGTGGCGTTATTACAGAATATGAAACTATATATTGAAAGTTTATGAAAATAAATTTTAAATAAATAAATAAAGCTTTTAATACAACATTTATAGTTAACAAATGCGCTTATTTTGAATACACAAATAACACTATTTTTGATTATTTTAAAATAAAAACTTTACAAAAATCTTCTGACATCTTTTTTTAAATCAGCGTAATAAATTTTTCAAGTATTTTTAAACTAGTTTTGACTTTATGAAAAAAATGCACACAGCAAATTGTTGTTTTAAACAATCTTGCCAGCAAACATTTTACAGCAGAATTTTAGTAGACTTTTATAGGCATTTTGAGAGTTTCCCACTTTTTATCCACTGTGAAAAGGCTTATTGGTTACATAGTGGACCACAATTGGCAGTCGTCATAATGGCTAGCTAACAATTAGCTTTTATATTACATGTTAAAGAGTTATTCAATAGCCACTTTTAGCCAATCCTTTAAGAAACTTATGAGCAAAACTCTAATTAACTGCTCAAAATGCTTATATAGGTCCACTGCAAGTCCACTATAAAATAATTGCTGGGTTAATAAAATTATATTTGGGTATCATCTTCACAGATTTTTATAAAAACACAGTTATTCATAGTTTGTTCATATATAAAAGTTCAAAAGTGTTTCATTAATTAAGTTCATAGCCTTAACCAGAGAGACAGATATTATCCTATTTAGTAAAGTAGTGGGTTTTGATCACTGTTTTATTATTTTTTATAAAAAATTGTATATAAGATTAAAAAAAAAATCATGAATATTATCATTAAGTACGTATCTTATTTAAGTTAATTGATCATAAGTTTGAGGATCATAGTTTTTTGCATTGATGCTTTAAATGCAAAGGAGTATTACCAATTTAATGTGGTCTTGTCGACGACACCCTCTAACACAAATTTTTGAAAACTTTACTTTGCAGCAATTTTATTTATTGCAAAATTTATATAAATTGAACAGAAGAAAATGGACACTAGATTTTGTAAGGTACAAACTTATAAAGGAATAAACACACCATTACATGAAAAAAGAAAGTTAACTAAATCTTTGATCAATTCTTTGCAGAACATCTTTAGCCTAGCAATAAGAAACAATCTTGACAATTTGTATGCTATATAAAAAGCTGTTTAGGCGGTTTTGTTTCATTGTACAGATTTTGACGACAAGGAATGTCAACACCGTATTTGTCTAAGAGACACTGAGACTTGGTGCAAATATCATTTAGAGAAAGTTCATGGTGAAAATACTTATGTAGAGCAAGTAAATATTTTTGTTTCAGTCTTCAACATTTTGAAACCAACTTTTACTGATTTATCTTCAGATGATTTACTAAAACACCAACGAGACACTGAACCAGATTATTTGGAGACGCTGCCCAAAACGTATTTTTGTGGGTAGAGGGGTCTTTGAGTCTGCAGTTAATTCGTCTGAGATTGAATTTTATGAAGGTCCTAATGGAATCTTATTTGTACATAATAAATTTTAACTAACAGGATATGCAACGTCTATAAAACTTAATGAAAAGAATAAAGAAGCTATAAAGCGTTCTCTTTATATAGTCCACTGAACGTGTCAAAAAGAGAGAAAAATAGCTAAAAACAATTAAAAAGACTTAGACAAAGATGATAAAGAAAGGATTAGTTAGACAAAGGTAATAAAGAAATTGATAAAGAAAAAACTCAAAATATACTCCTGGAGGGTTTTAATATGTTTATATGAACTTTTTATTATGGTTTTATTCTTTTGTTTATATATTTGTCGTTTCCTTAGAACTAAGTTTTGCCTCGAATACAAATCTTTAAAATATGATAACTTTAAACTCATTTAAGCTTTGATCTAATTTTTTTTTTGCGATTTTTTACATAATTAAAAAGGATCCAGATCCGGATGAGAGATATTTAAAACAAAATAAAGGAAGTACTTTTTTATGTGAAAAATTGCTGGGCGAATGTCCAGCAATTTTTCTATGTTTGTTTCAAATGTTGTAACCTTTTATATACTATAAATAATAAAAAATGCTTCACTTATCTAGAATAATATACCCCATTAGTATATAAACCAATTTTCAGCTTGATATGAAAAATATTTTAATTGCTAGCTCGTCACAAAAATTGCTAGTTTTTTCACTTTTATTTTAAATAACTGGGTAATTGAGACATTATTTTTTAAATTGATTTTTTAAAATAGTTAATAGAACCAGTTTTTTGGTGAAAAATTTAAATCAAAAAAGTTTTTCTATCAAAAGTTTGCCTTTTCTGTGGAGGACCACCTTAAGCATAAGAAAAAATTTAAAATTTATTCAAAAATCCATACTTCAAAACAACAATGTTTACCATGTAAAATAAAAGCTGTTTATTTGCAGTTTTAACAATTGAATAATGTTATTTAGAATTGAGTAGTATTATTTGAAAAAAGTGCCTTAAAAGTGTAATTGTGTCAAAGAAAGAACTAAGTGTATTTTTATCAAAAAATAAATTTAATAATGGATTTATTAAAATGGAATCTTTTTTTGAGCACGCTATATAATTTTAACCTACAAGACCCAGTATAAACAGGGTTAAATTGTACTAGAAATAAGATTATTTATTTAATGCTCTTATCATCTTAACACGAACATTTTTCGTTTTTATAAAAGTTGATGCGCTTTTCTTTATATATTAAACATTAAAACGGCCCTATCTGGAAATTTGAATAGATAACAAAATATTTATGCACCTTCAATAGCCATCTCACCAAGTCCAAAAAATCAATAGAATATCCATAGTTTTTATAGATAGGGGAAGACAAAGCAAGATATCAAACTTTTTATAAATCTTGGGTTATTGCAAATCTTAGACCAATGAAACAGTAATATTTTGTCAATTACTTGTTTTATCATAATGATTCATTGCTTCCATAAGTTTTGATTTTGCAAATAAAAAAATTGTAAAAAACAATTTTATCTTTTAAGCGTGAAAAAAAACTTACGAGTGTATAAATACTTGAACAATATTTAAAAAAACAAAAACTTGTATTTTAAAACACAAGCTATATATACAGATTTGTTTCCACTCAATTTTAATTTTTAGACCCATTTTGTCATACACTAGTTTTTTTTCAAATCTATTTGTTGTATAACTGAAAGATTTTTAACGGTACCATACCTAATGATACGAAGCATATTACAAGAATCTTTTGTATGCTTTCAAGTAAATTTAATTTAGTCTTTAAAATTCCTGGACCTAATAATAGAGTAATTTTTTTAAATGTAAATCATTTTCTATGTCAAAGGCCAATTTTTTTTTTTTAATTTTGTTTTATTAGGATGTTCTCAGAAGTCCTAATCGTCTTATCATCAGAAGTCTTTAGCATCGTAAGGACTTCTGATGATAAGACAGTTAAAAGGTTGAAATGTTTTTACCATCAATATCAAACAAAACTAAAAAAGAAAGAAAAACTCTAGATCTAAAGATAAATCAATAAAGTGATAATGATTGCTAATTAATTCCGCTCTACTCTATGTCTATGTATGTGTGTATATATATATATATATATATATATATATATATATATATATATATATATATATATATATATATATATATATATATATATATATATATATATATATATATATATATAGTAGAAAATAAAACTACGTGATTTTCACAACTTTAAGTTTCATGCTGTTGCAATCATCAGGTGAAATACCTTATTTCACCTGATATTTCACCTGGTATTTCACCTGATGATTGCAACAGCATGAAACTTAAAGTTGTGAAAATCATGTAGTTTTATTTTCTACTATATATATATTATAGCTCTGACTTATATAGTATATGCACAAAATAGCATCACTACATATATATATATATATATATATATATATATATATATATATATATATATATATATATATATATATATATATATATATATATATATATATATATATATATATATATATATATATATATATATATATATATCCTTCAAAAAACATAATTTTAAATGCAACTAACATTCAACTTAAAGCTGACAATCCTACAATTGTAGATTGCATGAAAAATTTCAATTTAATATTTTGATAAGTTTTAATAGTTCGTTACACTTAATTGAATTTTTTATATTGTAAAAAAAATTCAGTTAAAAAAATCAACCAACTTTATTTTAAATCAGTCATCTAGCTAATATATAATAAACTAGAATATACAAGTGCATGCAAATGCAATTTGACAAACTTTTTCAATAGTAACATATTTACAATATTTATAAACTCAAAACACATTTTTTTTGATTAAATCTTCAGGGTTTTGTCACAACCTTTTAGGTCTAAATTTAGTCTAATATTGGAATCTAGAGTCTGTTGTTGTAAATTGATGAAGCTTTTTAAATATTTCATATATGACTTTATTGCTGGAACAAAACACTAAATGTGAAGATATATTTAATATAATGCATACATAAGTTTAGTAAAATGCATAAACTTGTATAAATATATATATATATATATATATATATATATATATATATATATATATATATATATATATATATATATATATATATATATATATATATATATATATATATATATAGTAGAAAATAAAACTACGTAGAGTTCACTTACACAACTTAGATTCTAGCTATCTTACTTACACAACTTAGATTCTAGCTATCTAGTATCAGAGTGGTTTAAATAAAATTTTACTTATTGTTGAGTAGAAATCAATATGAATCACTTTGATTCAAGCCAGCTCATACCCTTTAGGTATATCACAAATTGATTTGTAAAGTTGGATAAACTTCAAAATTGATTGTATTCAAAAAAATATATATACTTTTAAGTTAATTGCTTTTTTCATATAATTTTTGTAAATAAAATAATTAAATAAAAGAATTTTAAAACTTTAAACACAGGTGTAATTGTATAGGTTACTGATATATATTAGATTTCCATAAATTTACTTCCTAAAAATACAATTTTGTTTTAATATCAATATTTTACTTCACTCACTAAACAAATTTTTGTCTAGCCTACTAACTTTGAACGAAAATTATTTTGAGCCAGCTGACGACGTAACAACTTAATAAAAAAACAAAATTATTCAAGTTACAAAACCGAACACGGAGTTGCAATAGCGAACAAAAAAGTTGCAATAACGAACAAGAGATGGTTTACCGAACAAGCGCGTTGCAATACAGAACATTTTAGTTGCATTACCGCACATCCATATGATCATCATCATCATCATCATCATCATCATCATCATCATCATCATCATCATCATTATCATAAAGTGGGGGCATTTTTTAATTAGTTGGAAATTTAGGACTGCACAGCATTGACAAATCAAACTACAACAGTTAAAAAATAGAAGTGATGTTATCCAAAACAATATACAAGTTAATAGCTAGTTTCTACATTACAAAATGTCATGCAAGATATATAACGCAACAAAAGCAGAATTTCAAAAATAACTGCTGTATTGTCTCAGTAACTTGGCAGAAATCTAAATATTTGTGATTTAAGATAAAATTCAAGTTACCATTGGAGAAAAATTCAAGCCAAACAAAGTTCAAACAATTGAAAAGCATAAGAAATAATTGTCTATCACAAACTTAAGAATATTAAAAAAATCATTCAAAGAGATTTATTCTTATTCTGCTAATTACATAAAAAATTCTGCTAATTACATTGAAACCATGGAGATTATTTTAAAGATTTCTAAAATAGAACTCAAATTAAAAAAAAATACTTTTTTTTTTTGGAAGAAACTTTTCAATGAGTTATCATTAGACTCCTGAATTCTTAATTAAATATAAGTTTTTTTACATTTTTGTAAAAAAACTTATTTAATGTACATTTTTGTTATTTTTACATAAGTTAATGTACATTTTTGTTATTTTTAGATGTTTTAACAGGATAACAATTTGTATAACTAAAAGTGTTTATTCTGCATAAATATCATTTTAATAAATAAATAAACTCTTTTAAAGGTTATTAACATTCAAAAGATTTTTCAGACATTAAAATTTTTGGTTTTCACCAAAACCTAAAAATTATTTTCAAAACTTTTCAAAACTTTTTTTAATATGCAAACAAACATTAATTTACTTTAAGGAAAGTAGAAAAATTTAAGGAAAGTAAGAAAATAAAAAAAGCACTAAAAAAATTAAAGATCCATAAAGATGATTTTGATATTGATGGAGATTAGAAATATTTTGCTACAAGTAAGTCATCGTGTGTTAGAATTGGCAGCTTTGTAAAATATTGCCAATACTATCCAGTGGTAAATAGTTCAAATAATGAACTAATGCAAGTCTACAACATACATAAATTACCAGATGTTGAATTGTAATAAAATTTTTGGCTTCAGTATATACAATATTAAAGATTAAAAAAGAAAAACTAACAGAAGTCAGTGTTTTAAAAGCCTTTTTTTAGTCAATTTTTTGAAACATTTTCAATTGCACGTAATGAAGGACATGAAGAAAATAACATTTATATCTTGGTATTCACTCTAAATTGCGCACCACTCTTAGCTAAGTATAACGTTCCCTGAAACTTATACCATAACAGACATTTTTTCTTTTGCTGGTATTAAAAGAACTCAACTAAATCAACAAATTAATATTGAAATAAACTATCAATATATTGAAAATCAGAAAAATTTATTCACTGACTTTCAAAATATTGATAATTTGGTTTACGGTGATTAATTAAATTGACAATACAATATGATGTTATAGTAAAATTATGTCTTTATGGTATTTTAAATTCTTTGGCTGTCTAGAGCAGATGTGTTGGGTTCCAATTACCAACATGATTTGTAGCATTAACACACCTGTAACATAACCTGGACAGTTGTCAAAAGAAAAAAACATTAAGATTTTATTAAACTTTTATCAATATTTATTTTTTTAGTAACATATTTTTATTTAGTAGCAGCATTTTTGTAGAAAGATATTAAAAAATTGAAAGTTTTTCAAAAATTGAAAAATGCGTTTTTCATTTACAGTTTTAGTGTTAGTATTTTTAGTATTTTAGTTTTATTGATCGACTTGACTAGGTATTGTAATACAAATAAAATTGTCATTAAACATAAAAACTTTTTATATTTTTAAAATTGATAAAATATTTAAAACAACTATATTTTCAGAAATGGTAACAAATGGTTTTCAGAGATTTATTATGAAACTGTTGTAAAAAGAATTCAAAATCTCATCAACATTTCATTAAAATGTAATTATTATTTAATTATAAAATTAATTGATAAAATCTTAAATCAATAAAGTTATTATAAAGTTATGGTTCAACTAGTAATGTTCAAATTATAAAGAAACATTAAAAAAACATGTTTTAATATCTTCGATTTTTTGAATATTTCAATTAAAAAGTTTCGTTTTTAAGTTTAATCACTAAAGTATTATAAATCATACATATGAAATAAGCTTCTTTAGCAATCAAAGTGATAACTTTGAATTCTAGCCTTTTGAGTTGTCCTAACCTTTTGAACTCACCTTAACCTTTTAAGTTAATTCTAACCTTTTAAGTTAATTCTAACCTTTTAAACCCTAACTTTTTGTTTATAGACATTTTTGTTACCTTTTATATAAATACTGGTTAGGGGCCATCCATATATTACGTACGCACCAAGGGGGGATGGGGGTGTCCCAAGTTGAGCAATTTGCTTACGAGTGAGTATGGAGGGGGGGGGAGAGGATCCAACAAATGTATGTACGCAAACGCAAAAAATTGAGGTGGCAATGACACACTTACACTTGCTCATTAATAAAAAAGAAGTGATTGCGTTTATGTGCATTAATGGAATTAGGGAAGGGGGGTTAGACCACCAAGCATATGAAACTTATATGAGAAGGGAGTTAAGATCACTAATACCGTAGGAAAGGGGGGCTTAGAACACCAAACTTATATAGGCATAAAGGAAAAGAGGGGGTACAAAAACGTATGAGGTGCAATTGGGGGAGAGGAGGGGGTTAAATATGTAGATTTTAGCATATATAATATATGGATGGCCCCTTAATGTAAAAATTATATGGTTTTTTAACTGTCTGAATCTGTTTTAAATTTAGGTGTGCTAACAATCTTAAAAAACTGTGTAGCAGTTATGGAGCCAGAGTTTATGTTACCGATAAAACGGGATCAGTACAGGTTATTTTTTGAATTATATGTATCATAATATAATATAATACAATGAAAAATAACATGTTACATGTTTTTTTATAAACATATAATATTTTTGAAACAGGTATGAGGCTCAAAACTATGCTCGAACTTAAGCTTGCAAGATATGCGGTAATGGTGTAGTGGTAGTTTGCTCACTTCATAAGCAAGAAGTTCCATGTTTGATCCCACCACCTTATGCCAGTCTTGTCTAAGATGTTTATTGAATTTAATCAATTATTATTTTTCAAAACAATATTTCATGCATTTGTAAAATGCACGCAAATTAATGATAATATACAATGACCTAATGATTGTAAACTGTTATCTATTGAAACAAAGTAGTAAATTTTTTTAAATTTAGTTTGTTAAATTTATTTACTAATAATAAAATGTATAAACTTGAACAAATTAAATCATATCTTAGTTTGGCATGTCATATTGCAGTATAGGAGATGTAATCTTTCTTTTCACTAGGAATGTTTTAATATAAAAAAAGAATGAGGTACTATTGTAGGATCGATATACCAAGTATCTCAATTCTACAATCTAGTTTATCCAACCCTATTATATCAAATATGAAAATTGACCAAGAAGTTGGCACAATTGTAGAATTGAGATTCCAGGTATGTTTATAAAATGATTTCAATACTGCTTTGACTGCATCTGGTTTGTCGCAAACATTTTATATAGATGTGATTTATCTATTGATTAAAAATCCAGATAAAGCTTTGATAGCTTTGTCAGATTGCAAATACCATTTTGCATAAAAACATGCTATGAATTCTGCCATGATGCTTTTTTCTTCCCAAAGTAGTTTATCTTCCTCAACAAATTTAATATGATTTAAAAGTTGTTGCTATTTGAGATAATATATGTCTTTTCCAAGGAATCTTGCATGATAGACAGCTCCTAGTTTTCTAATTTTCTTATCTTCAGAAGACAAATAAGCAACAACTAACTAAGCAAGTTCCTTTCTATCACCTCTTAAAGCTTTATCACTTTTAATTTATTATTTGCAGAAATTAAGAGACTCAACTGCCAAACACTTAATAATAGTTCAATTTGTTTTATCCCAAAATTTTGTAACATTATTAGAATCATTATGAAAATCAGGAGTTTCAAATACTTTGAGTTTTTTTATGAAAGGATTGAATTAAAATCTTTGAGTTTTTTATTAATGGATTGTCTGGTCCAGAAGTCTTATTTTATGTCACAACATTTCAAAAGTGAACAGTTTTAATCTCTGATGCATGGTGTCTACGGGGCTAGAATTAAAGGATAGACATCTAGATTGTTTGCAATTCTAATAAATGAAATCTTTTAGTTCCATCATTACTGAAAATTATGTTGAAAAATAATTCTCCAATGTTTCTATGAGATAGACCACAGAGAATTATTACACATTCATACTGATCTTCACCTGAGGAAGATAAAAGAGAAGGCTCTCTGAGAAGATAAACTTCACCATATTTAAAAGAACTGCTAATTTCTCATTTTAGAATTGTTTTCCTTTTTTTAATTTAAATGTTTTACCATCAAAATAAACAATAGGCGGATATTTCAAGGCTTTTAAAGCAGCTTTAATATCATTTTTAGCTTGTTTACTTATTAATAAATTTACTTTTTTCCTATGTGACAGGGTTGCTAAAATACTTCAGTGTAATTTACTTATATCATTATGAATAACAGAAATTACAACTTTTTGAAGAACTGCAAGTGTGATATATTGCTGACAGATGCTGCAAGAGCAACCTACCTCTAATATCTTTAGGAATTGTGCTTGTAATTGATTTTATATAATAGTTTTCTTTTATCCTCAGTTTCCAAGGATAAACTTTCTTGATCATCCATATCTTTAATTTTTTGTTTAATTTTTTCTTGTCCATCATGCTATCCCTAAGATTTTGGTGTAACAATCCAAAACACTTTTTGGATTTTCTGTAAAAAGTTATTTTTTATTTTTTAATCTGAAATTTATCCTCTCATTTTATGTTTTTTGTCAGAAGCTATCGGAAACCAAATACTTTATTCCAATTAAATTTAATTATAGGTAAAATGCACCTGCATTTGCCAACTTCATACTGAATCTCTTTCATGCTATTAGCCATACAATACAGTATTAAAGACTTTTTCACATTTGTTACCAGTGTAGATTTAATGTAATAAAAGTTTTTCAGTATATGTTCCAGTTAGAAGTTGTATACCTTAACTTAAAAAGGTTTTTCAGTATATGTTCCAGTTAGAAGTTGTATACCTTAACTTAAAAAAGTTTTTCATCTCTGTGACATATTTTATACTTACTCAAAAATTTATTTTAAAAATTTCTTATCGAAAACATCATTTCTTTTTGTATAAGTTGAAAATTGTTTAAACTCTCATAATATTTCATGTACCCCAAAAAATATTATTATTTATGTTTAACGGGTACACAATATATAGATCTTTTATCTGTTTTGTGATAAAACTATAGCATTATCATTTGATATATAAGTACATGTGTATGCAAAAAAAGAGTAAATTGTACAGTAATTTTTTTGAATAAAATAAAAAACTACCTGATAATGCTAATTTAGCTTCTCCAATAAGAAAAAAAGGCTTTTTTCTTGACCAAGATATTTTTTTTCATCTCTACTTTTAATTTCTTTATTTTTCAACATAAACTTGCGTAAATGTCTTTAAAAAAATGAAACAAATGCATTATATATACATATATAAAATAAAGATTAATTTATACTAACCATAAACTTCAAAATTGTTGATTTCTCTAGATTTCTGCTACAAAGCTTCAATTAGATTAATAAGTACTTTGTTTTATTTTTTTATAGTCTAAAAAAGTAGAATTGTTTAACATGAAATAAATATTATGATAATTAATCAAACACAACATAAAATTAAATGAAGTATTTTATTAATTAACACTTTTTGTTACAAAAAATAATAAAAGCAAATATAGATCAATACCAATATTATAAAAAAAAATCAGTTTAAAATTTTCATATTATTACTTCCCCAAGACTTCATAATAAAAACATTTATTTGTGCTTTTTGTCTGTTTTTTAAAATAAAATGGGCCCTATGGTAGGCACAAAACTGATCCAATCAGACTAACATTTTTTCAAAGTCATTTTTAACACCAATGCCCCATGTTTCAAGGAATAGTATATTGAAATTCAAATATTTTCTCAAAAGCATGTATCCTTATATATTTCTCGAACATCAGTTCTTTGGAATTTGCTTGCTTCTTCTTGCTTTCCTGATTCATATAATTTGCAATCTTTTAAGTTGTCTGTCAATCGTTATCTTGCTCTACAATCTTTATCTTTTCTCTTCCAGTAACTTCCAACTCTAATTAGTGGTTGCTTGCAGCCTTGTTGAGAGCAAAGATGTTAAATATATATATATATATATATATATATATATATATATATATATATATATAATATATATATATATATATATATATATATATGTATATATATATATATATATGTATATATATATATATGTATATATTATAAAAAAAAGTTTTGATTTTCAAAGTTGATTTTAATAATTTTTTTTAATATTTATCTCAGTCATGGTCAGTTGGTTCCAAGACAAATCTATTAAGTCAAAGTGAATTAACAGTGCATTTAGGTTTGGGTACACTCGAAACCTCATTGTTTGTGTGTTTTGGCCTCAGACTCAACAAGAATTAATTATTATTGATGTACCTGTTAATACAAAGATAAAAGCCATTAAACCTGAAAAGTATGTTGTTTGTAAGCAAAGCATATTTAAAATTATTAAAATTATCAGTCTTTTTGACTCTTTTTTCCTTCTTTGGAATCAAGATTAAAATAAAGATTTGAAAAATATATATATATTTTAAGTTATGAAATACTAAACAAAAGTTTGATTTTTTAAATAGATCATTTAAAGTAGTTGCATATTATTAATTACTTTAGTTACATATTATTTATAGATGATTAGTGAATGATAAACTTTTTTTATAATAATTTAGTAACAGAACAATCTTTTGGAGCTCGGTAGAGGAGTGCCCTTATATGTATGTTAAAGATGTGTCTCAGGTATATATTGTTTATTAGAAAAGTGCAATAAATTGTATAGTTTAGTACAATATAATAGTAAATAATGATCTTTCTCTGTGTGTATAAATAAATAAATAAATAGGTTTAAAAATTAGAGTTTTGGATTTTCTGCTCAAAATTCTAAGTTTATGTCTATTATTTTAGTACTCTTAGGTGCTAAATAAATGGGAAGGGACATTTAATAAATTTTGTAAATTTTTTCCACCCATCCCGAGCTTATTAAAACCCTCTTCTGTGTTTATTAATTTTTACTTGTTATCAACTATAAAAAAAAAGGTCACTACAGTTGAGGAGGCTATTTAAATTGTGGTTGCAATCCTCTCTCAACTCTATAACTCAGAAACATGAAGCTTGACAAAGAACATTGTTGCGCTGAGAAACAAGTTGATACCATAATATAAAATTTATATAAGCATATTAAATCCTATTGAAATTATGATGAAACAGCTGTTGCTGTTGTAAAATGCACATTTGGGGGTTTTAATGTTTATTAACTTTTAATAACTTTGGCAAACAGGGAATCATAGCTCTTTTTTAATAATTAAAGGTTTTTAATTTAAATTATTACGATTGCTAAATAATTTTACAAAAAAATGTTTTTCCACAAGCCTAGGTTAAAAAGATTAAAAATATCTGCTCATTAAATTTTGTTGTTCTAAGGCTTAATAATGCACATCTTCCCACCCCCATTTAATCATGGGGGTGGGAAGGTAGGGGTTATAATAAACAGGACTATTTTAAATATCTTTAAAAAAAATACATTTTTGATTGATATAAATCAATTTTGGAAAATGAGCAAAAAGTCAAAACTCAATAATTGTTTTTGATTGCAGTTACAATTTCGAATACACTTTTCTTTTTATATGTTTTTTATTGTTTATTGCAACTAATCAGAGACAATTTTTGTCAACTAGTTTACAGATAAACAGAGAAATTTACAAATAAACAAAGAATTTTTTGTCAACTAATTTTGAAAAATATTTTACTTATTTTTTCAACATTTTTACTGTACTAAGTCGTTATTCAAATAAAATAAGTTATATTTAAATAGAAGAGTCGTTTGAATTTATAATAATATATGATAATGCTTTATCATTAGGTTTTTATGTTGGTCTTATAAATGTTTACTGAGAGGTTAAAGGTGATATTGAGAAGTGACATTTTACTATTTTAAAATTTATCCTTATTTCAACATAGAAACAAATGTTTTAAAAATTTTTTATATCTTTCTTGGTTTTGTCAGAAGTTTTTTGAATATCGAATCATTTTGAAAAGTACATGAGATAAAGTTAAAGCCACTCTGAGTGGAATTGATTAAAAGACTAAAATTCTAGTTTATTTCTAGAAATTTTTTTTTTTTTTTTCATATAAACAGTATTTTAAGCATATATTAAATGCATGATGCAAAAATATCTCTTGACATTTTTTATTAAATTTTGTTGTCTATTAGCCATTGCAAGGTAAATTGACTATCAATGAAGATATGAAGTCATTAAATTATGATCCATCACCATTAGAGATGATAGATATTGGTTTGCAGAATTTCACATATACTATTGGAGTAAAATCAGAACACCTAGATGCTCAATACACAGGAGTAGTAGAACTAGATCTTCGAGCTCCAATTGAGTTCACAAATTGTAAGAGTAAGTTGTCAGTGGATGTTGGTGTATCTGATTCTCTAAGGTATGTTTATTAAATTTATTTTTTTAAATGATGTACGCATATAGATTTAATAAATAACTTTAAGAACTTGTAAAAATACAATAAGTTAAGAAGTTATATATATATATATATATATATATATATATATACATATATATATATATATATATATATATATATATATATATATATATATATATATATATATATATATATATATATTGATGAAACAGGTAATAAAACTCAATTTTTTTTTTTAATTTTTAAAATTTTTTTTAGATTTAATTTTCAACTTTAATGTATTAGATAATGTATCACTTCAGCAAAGTTATTATATAGTTAGAAAAATAAACATTAAATTTGTACTAATGACTAATCTTCATATAAATACAGATGTAATTATAAACAAAAAATATCTATAATTTTTGATTTTCTTTCTGTAAAACTTTCACTTTGCACATTCATCATTAATGAGCAATGAAAAGTCAATGAATGAATAGTCAAAAATTGAAAAGTTTAGCTTTACTTTTATCTATTTCTGGACATTTTAGGGATTCTGGATATTTCTCTAAAATTTTATTTTTTTCGGATATCTAAATAATTTTTTGGAAATACAAGTTTAAAAGATATTTTTTGTAAAACAGTAAAGGTATCATTCATTAATGATTCTATGCTATATTTAGTTAGATTAAGCATTATTTGTACACATGTACAACTAATTTTTTTCTTATTTGTATTTGGATATTTACTTATAACGCCCCACAGGGATTAATCCTAGGACCATTGTTATTATTAATATATATCAATGATATACATAAAGCTTTATCTAAAATATTGTCTACAATGTATGCTTACATTACTAGCCTGTTCTTGAATCAATCTGAATTAAAGATACTGTTTGAAACCATAAATATTAAATTAAAAAGTTTTAACTTCTGGTTTAGGGCCAATAAACTGTATTTGAATTGTAAAAAACCAGCTTTACTCTCATAAAACAAGACAAGCTGTTAACCTTTCATTAAAGTTACCAAAATAGTTTATCAATAAAAAAGAAATACCAAGAGAAAATTACCCAAAGTTTTTAGGAATTTTACATTAAAAAAAAAGACATACATCATTTAGTAATTTTTCCTGGTCTTATTTTTCTTGTCTTTTTTCTCTTAATTTTATATTTTTTTCTTTATTTTGCAGTAATAATTTCTTATTTAAAAACTTTAGTGTATTACGGAAATACATTTTATAGGTGTTTTTTTTTTGTTTTTTTGTTTTAATGCTTTGTTTGTTTTTTTATGCTGTTTTATGTTATTTTTAATGTTCTATTCTCAATTATGCTTTTATAAATTTTGTTATTTAAAAAATTAATATATTTTTAAAATCTTGTTATATGAAAAAACAACAGGTGTTAAAGGTAGTTTTTAAAAAAAGTTAAATACGTAAGTTAAATACGTTACACGTAACACCTGTAAGTTAAATACGTTACACGTAACACCTGTAAGTTATGCAAAATATATTATTTTGGTTTTATATGTAGGTTTTGTTAGAAGACTGGTCTAATTGAATAATAAGTATCTTATTTGTGTGTTCCCGGAGGTTTGTTTTGTTTCAAATCTTGACATCATAGGAACACATTTTAAAAGGGTAGTAGTCCCTATTAACATATTTTTACTAAAACCTGACTGTTATTGAAATGCCATAATATATTAAATATAAATAGATTTAAGGAATAAAAGGAGTATACTTATTAAAGGGAAAATATAGATATGTAATTTTTTTTTTTTAATTTTTAATATATTAATTAAAATTAAATTAATGAAATATTATTAAACACCTAACTTAATTTAAGTATCTAAGATCTGAACTGTTTGTTTCTAAATCAATTTTTGCATTTTTTTATTTTTTCATTAAATTTACACTACAGAGTTCTCAGCATTCCTGAAAAGCCCTGGAACTTAAGTTTGGCAAAATCTTGGAAAGTCCTGGATTTTTTAATTGTTTTTAAAAAGTATTAGAAAGGTCCTAATAATATAACAATTATTTCTTAAATTATTTTATTCTTTAATATAGATTTATGTTCAACAAGTTTTTTTTATTTATAAATGCTGTTTAGATTTTTCTTTAAAAAAAAAAATGTTTGCTAGTTGTTTTTAAAAGAAAGTCATATGCATTCAATTCAATATGCATTAATGAAACTTTATATACATTCAAAAAAATTACTTTTCACATAAAGAATATTTTATTATAATGCCCAACTTTGACAAAGTTTTAAATCAAAATTTTTTTCTTTTATTCAATTTTTTAAGCCACTATCAGTTACTGTGTACTGCTGCATATTCTGTTTGTTGTTGTTATTTTTTATTATATTCATGTTGCTTTTTGTAATACTTTATTACTATAAATCTTAATAAAAGACTATTTTTAATTCAAGCTTTATAACGGGTTCTTTTACAAGAAACTTTGTCTCAAAACTTTCCAGAAAGTATTTTCAAATCTGTTAGGGGTTAGTTAAAGCAACACTATTTTTGTTATTTTATTACATACTTTTTCTGTGTCTTATAAAAAAAATCTTGTATGTAATATAAGTGTGACCACAGTTATCATAAATCTCATAAATCCAGCCAAGATTTTTTTTTTTTAATGCATTGTTCATTGTCTTACACAAGTCAGAAATTAACCTGTTTTAGGTTTGATTTAAGAACACCCCAATTATTTTTATAGATTCAATTTAAGAAACCTTTAGGTTACGCTAAACTGTCACAATTAAAATCCTGAGGTGGCACATTTTCAGAAAAGGCATTTAAAGGGGGTGGACCTATGAAATTCTCATGCTCAAGTGAAAAAACTTCCAGAAACGCTGCAAACCTTAAATTTTTACATACAAATATAAAATAATGATTTTCTGCCAAAAAAATAACATAGAAATTACAATGCTTTCAGAGCACCAACCCCAAATAGAGCAAATAAAAAAATTCAAAAACTTTTTTTGTAAAATCTTATAGTAAATGAAATTTTATTCAAAGAATTCAAATCATAAAAAAATATATATTACAGTTCAAAAGTTATGGCCAAAAAACGTTTTATTCATTATATCTTGACAGAAAGCAGCTGTGCATATCTTTAAGGTTCCTAAACGAGAACTTATTGCATATACTTTCCATGTCACACTAAGGCTTTTATTTAAGAACTAAAATGTATAAGTGTATATAAAGAAAATATTTAAAGTAAAAGAAGTTGTTAAACATTATAAGTTTATATCATACTTACTTCTGAACAGTATGTTTGAGAATGTTCAAAATTATCTGTAGAATCTTGGATATATTGTGATACTGTTGATCTAGTGGTTCACTAAATGTACGAATAACAAATCTGTCAAACTTTCTTAATGTATCAATTAAAGGGAATAGCTCTATTGGAATTACTAATGCAAGACTTTCTACATTATTCAATATTGCTCTTGAAACATTACCATCATATGTACCTTTGTGATAACCTTCCTGTATAACACCAAGGCTATTAACCCATTTTTTTAAACCTGCTCAGAGAGGTATGATATAATTACAAATTCGATTTACCGAACCCATTAGAAGACGAAGTTCTGGTAAAGGTATTACGTTTATGACTAGCTTCTCAGGATCATCTTCCTTTATAAGATAAGGCTCTTCAACATACTGCGTAAAAATAAATGGAACGCAAAATTAAGTTTTGTATAAAAAGCTCTTCATTAGATTACAAATATATAAAAACTAATAACCTTAAAAAACATCATTTGTTTTGCAGGAAAGCCTGCATCAGCATACTGACAGTTATCTAAGTTTCCAAAACTTCTGAGATTATCAGATTTCAGAACAGTTTCCCTGTCACATCAGGAACAACTTTATTTTCCACCGTGAGTCTAGAAATTATTTATTGACTCACAATGGAAAATACAGTTGTTACTGATGTGGAAAGAAAAAATCTAATAATTTTTAGTTTTAAAATTATTTATAGATTTGAAAAAAATAGTTCAATTAAAGAATAAATTGTAGTTATTTAAGTAATTTAAATATTGAAATTCCCAACAAAATGTTGATAAATTTAAGGTCTGATGCCAGAGAATATTTAAAAGTATGAAACATTTTCTAAAATATAGAAGTTCTTAAGTATCTTTGTTTTATCCAATTTTTTTTCATATTACTTTAAAACTTAATTTCATTTTGCCTGAAGGTCTTCAAGAGAACATTTGATTTGAACTCAGTCCATTGCAAACAAATAACTAACTTGTTAAACTCTGAAAACGGTATTTCTGTCTGTTTTATACAAGTTAGACCTGAGTTATGGGGACTTTGGAACCACCTATATAGTTGACAAAAATATTTAGAAATGCAAAACATTTTACAAATTTATTCAAAGTAAGCAAAATTTATAACATACCAGTGGAAAACACCATTTCTTCACCTTTTTCCATATCATTATCTGAGTATATATCTTTCAGAATATTGTTCATTACTTGGCCTTGAACCTAAACAATAAGACAGTGAAAAATTTGTTTTACAAATGAGATAATAAGAAACATTCAGATTTGAAATAATATTATTATTAATAATTTTAAAAGGAATGTATTTTATTAATATTTTACTTTAATATTTTTACTTAAAAGATAATTTGCCAGATTCTTTGATTTCTTTCCAGGGTAGCGTTTATGATGTATATCTTTTCCAATAACTTGAGAGCATTTTTGACAAACTTGAAAAGCATACAGCATTTAAACTCTTGCTAACACTAACTTTTCCTGAAATTATTTTCTTTCTGTTTTATTTGTATATGAATTATTTAATGAACTTAAATCAAACTAATTTAAAACAAAGCATAATATAGAAACTAAGATTTTACTAGTTGCCAATTTGCAAACTTTGCATTTTTTGCAGCTCCTACTGCAGTATAAATTGCTTAAAGATTCTTTGTTCCATTTCTGTTTAACTGATGTTGAAAGAGATTTTCCAGCTTTAACCAGGTACAGATTTCTTTTACACAAATGTCATAGTCAAGCTGGATACTTCATAACCTTATTACTATAGTCATTATGACAATCCTTTATAACAAGCTTTTCCAAATTTTCTGTAACTGAAACTTAGTGTTTTAAGTAAAGCAACAAACACAGACAGTTCAACTAATTAGATCTTTTAAACTTAAATTTCATTCCTTTCTTTGATATTTAACATTATGAACTCTATCTGTAATTTTAATAGTTAAAATATCAAGAGTAAATTTATAGATAAACTTTAATTGAATAAGTTTAAATACCAATTGCAACCTTTGTTTAATTCTAATTAATCATCATTACCTTTAAATAACTATAAACAACTAATAAATGGTAATTAATGAAGTTAAACTAATTTTATACCATAAACTATACTCTTTTGTATAAAAATACTAGTGTCAAAAAGACAGATGTGTCCAAAAAATAGCTGTTTGAGAACAAGAAAACCCCAAAATTTAAGGCCACCTGCCGTGATTAAGAGGAGGACATGTGCATTTGAAAAAAAAAAATAATTTCTTAAAGCAAATTGTAATTCATTATAAAGTTTCAAGTTTCTTAAAAAAATCTTATGTACTTTAGAAGTTATGGTTGTGTAAAATTTAAAACCTCATCCACAATTTATTGGAAGCGGGAGGGTGAATAAAACGTTTTTTGGCCATAACTTTTGAACTGTGATAAATATTTTTTTATAATTTGAATTCTATGAATAAAATTTCAATGATTTCTATGAATAAAGTTGTACAAAAATATTTTTCATTTTTTTATTTGCATTATTTGGGGTTGGTGCTCCCAAAGGGTTGTATTTCCTATGTTTCCAAAATCAAATTTTTTTTATTTTTGACAGAACTTCATTATTTGATATTAGTATTATTATGTAAAAATTTGAGGTTTGCAGCGTTTCTCAAAGTTTTTCACTTGAACATGAGAGTTTCATAAGTCCACCTCCTTTAAATGTCTTTTCTGAAAATGTGCCACCCTAAGGATTTTAATTTTTAGAGTTTTGTGTTACCTAAATAAAATATCTTTATAGATTCTTAAATAAAAACTATAAAAATATTTGGGTGTTTTAAAATCAAACCTAAAAGTTCAATTTCTGACATGTGCTTTATACGTTGTGTTTTAAATTTATTTAGTACCAAGATCAGTTTAGCAAAAGAAATTTGAGTGACTTAATTGTGCACTATGGCCAGGTACTATTTTTTTTTTTAATTTTATATATCTAGTAAAACATTTATTCAAATTAATTTTTAATCAAGTAATTTAATTTTTAAGCAGTCTTTGAGTAAATAACAAAACAATCAATGAACAAACGTGCAATTGGCAAATAAATATTTAAGCATTACTTAAACTTGTAAAAACCTTTTTCATAATTTATAAATCATGATACACATCATGCTGCTGCATTACCAAAATTTGATCTTCAAAGTTATGACAATCAAGTTTGGATGCCAATATCAATTCCACAGGTTTAAATATATTTTGATTTATTGCTTTATTACTATTAAAATAAAAACTGTTTAAAATAAAAAGTTTAAAATTCTAATAAGGTAGAATAAGGTATTATGAGCACCTTAAGCAAAAATTGGAATATATTTAAAAAAAATAAAATATCCAAAATTTTTGCGTATAAACAATTTTAAGGATCACTACTCATGATTCACTTTTGGGCACCGTATATTTTTTCTTAAAAGCAGAGAGGTTTTAAAAAAGTAGCAAAAATCCTCATATTACCTAGACCACTCGGTAAGATGAACACTTTAAATTAGCTCAAAAAAATAACCTAAATTAAGTAAAAAATTACCAACCTGACATTTTAAACTAACTTTTAGAATATAATGATTCATTATTAATAAAACTTTTCATTAAAAGATCAAATTTTGACGTATTTTATGGAAACAATACTAATTTGTTTTATGCAAAAAAAGTTTAAAAAATTAGTTCATTATTTTTTCATTTTTATTAACTCAAACCTTTACAGCTTTAAAAGTGTATTACATAAGTAAAGTTTTCGAATAACAAGTTTTTTAATTTTAAGTTACAGAAAGATATTTAATTTTGTTAAAATATAAAAAATTTTTACGAGTTTTCATTTATTTAAAAAGCAGTTAAAACCAGGACTTTAAACTAGGTAACTTCAATGATAAATACTGGTAATTTGAGCGTGCTCATTTACGCAAAAATGGCATCTTCATATTTTTTCAAACAAAAACAGAAGAGGTTTCAAATTAACTTGTTTTTCTGTATGAAAAATTAAACATCATTATATTAACATCAAAACTTTGTGCCACAGGTTTATTTATGCGTAATAATAATATTTTAATAACGCAAAAAAATTTAATAGTATCATAATTAGATAAGGGTTGCTAGTTACTGCATACAAATTTAGGCTAATTGTACAGAATCCTGTATCACCACATATAGTCAGTTCAAAAAATACAAAGCAAATTTAAACCCACTCCTTACATCTTTGAAATCTTTTGGTATGCTCATATTACCAAGATGCTCATATTATCCTAATCTAAATTATAATGACATATGTAATTAATTTTACTGATTGCCATATTTAAATTTTTAGGGAGATGTTCAATTTGATCCTTACAAAACTGGTCAAGAAACCATGCCATTTTTAAGAACACAGTATGAGAGGTATTGAATTTTTTTATAATTGTTTCACTGTTCTAAAAATGTTTTAAACTTAATTTATATTTATACTTAGATGTACAGGTATTTATCCTGGTAATAAAGAAAGAAAACAGCTTAAAAATATAACTGCATACATTGACGGAAGCATGATGTATGGTTCAAGTTTAAGCCGTTGTGCTAGTTTGAGAGAATTTAAAGATGGAAAAATGAAATTGAAAAATAGTTTTCCACCGGTATTTAATTTTTACTTTGAAATTTAATCATTCTTTGTTTGATTTTAGTTAGCAGTTTTTTTTTGATCTGTTAAGAAATGCTTTCATAGGCTCTTTTTTTTTTTTTTTAATATTAATTAAAAGAACATTAATTAAATTTTTTTTTTTTTTTAATTTATATTCTTTAATCAATATTCTTTTAAATCTTCCAGTAAATCTTAGGGTTTCAACTTTTGTTTTCCTTTAATTCTTTTAGAGATTCTCTTCAAAGCTTTAACAAGAGTTAAAGCTCTTAAGTCTCATTTAAATAAAACAAAAAATATTATTATGGAAACTCATTAATTGGATATTATACATTAAAATCACACAATACATAGAATAAGTAAAATGATAAAAATAAAAAAGGTATACCATATTTAAACCATATTAAAACCATATTTAAAGTGTTGTACAAACCATAGAAGTTGGAAGGTAAGGGGTTATAATAAACAGGACTATTTGGATTATCTTGAAAGCAAAAAAAAGTATATAGGGTAAATCACCCAGTGGTCGACACCTCTTCCAGTCTTTGACATTTTGTCACTAAAAAATAGGCTGAGCAACTGAAGTAAAGTACCAAAATAGAGTTGAAATGATCACCTAATTTCCTTTATATATGGAGAAAGTTTGGCTATCGTAAACATAAAAATAAACGCATGAGATGATGTGGAACAAAAAAAAGTTCTGTAAATACCCTTAACTTTTAGGAATAATTTTCATAACTGTTTCCAGATAACCACAAAAAACGCATGACAAATGTAATATATTTGAAATTTTTTTTTTTCTTTTGAAAGGGAAAATGGGGGGTAGAAGGAGTGTCGAAGACAGGAAGCAATTTATTATGTTTTCCAGTATTCGACAAAAAAAAAATTTTTATTGTTATTATTACTTTATCATATAATAAGGGTTCTAAGCCACATATTTTATGTAATTTTGGCCAGAGATTTATGTTTGAAACTAACACTTCTATAAGTTATTGAATTTTATTCCAGTCTTCGTTCTAGTCATCGATGGAAATTTTTTATTTTTTTTTTGCTAGGATTTATAGAGATTTACTATAAAAAAATATTACTTTCTGGATTGTTATAATTGTTAAACAACAATTCCCTAAGGAATTTTTAAGGTTCGTAAAGTTTGTAATTATTGATGTTTTGTAAAGTTCTATTTGCATAATCATTAAAGATTGCTGGTTGCAATCATTAATTTGTTCATCGAATGATATAGAAGAATATAAACTTATTTAATAACAATACAAACATTTATTTATTTGAAAACTCCTTGGTTCGGAATTAATCTCTAAGGGATTAAGAGTGTAAGAGTTTAAAACACTGTTAATAAATAAATCTCTAATATCAATCTTATCTTTATTTTAATCTGTCTCGGCTTTGTTTCCAACTTTGTGTTTTGAAATTAAAATTAATTAAATTAAAAGTAAAATAAAATAAAGATGTCTCCTAAAATAAACAGCTGCTCCAGAATGGCATCAAGATCCCAATATACTGAGGATGACATTGACAATGCAATTGAAGACATTAAGAGGTAAATTGGACATTTTTAATATCCTATTAGTTAATTCTATAACCAATTTTTATTGTAGTCAAAGCCGTACTATAACTTTTTGTATATTTTCTGTATAACTTTCTGTATATTTTTCAATAAAAAGAAGTCTATTTAAAAAGCTGCCAAATTTTACAACATTTCTTGGATTACTCTGCATGATAAAATTAGTGGCAAAGCCCCAATTGTCAAAAAGATGGGTCCGAACATATTCTTGACTGGTGCAGAAGAACAAGTGCTAGTAAATTATATATTAAGTGCACAAAGGCGTGCTCTGCCTGTCACAAAAGATACTGTTTCATCTCTTGTTTCTTCGTTTATATCTGATGAAAGGAATTTCCTTGAGATAAACAGAAATTGGCCTTTTAAATTTGGGCAAGCTGGGACTTTAGTGCCTGGGAAAAAATGGTTAGTTATTAAATACTATTGAGTCAAAAACTACAATTTGAATTGTCATTTTGTTTCTTGGAATTTGTTTCAATTTCTAGTTTTTAACATTGGTCTGTTATATATAATTATTTATATATATATGTACATATATCTATAAGTTATACTGACTTATAATTTTATTTTATTTCATTAGGTACGCATTCTGCATGAAGAGACACCCAAATCATTCATTCTTGCTGCGCTCAAAGATTCGCTGAATCTTTGAGCGCAGCAAGAATGAATGTTAGCAAGCAAGTAGTGCAGCAATGGTTTGTAGACAGAAGAGCATATACTTGGCAGAAAATGATACTCTTGGCAAAACAAAAGAGGCAAGCAGGAGTTTTAATAGAGATGTAAAAGAGAGTTTTGGCAGAGAAAGACTCTAAAATTATCCACTATGTAACATCAACAAATGCAAAAGAACGTGTAACAGTGTTTGGTAAGTTTAGCCTACCTATTAAATCCCTTGTTAATATTTCTCTTATTATGCTTACAGTCAAGTGTAATGTTTTGGCCTATGTCTATTAATATCTCTGCTATGCCTAACTATTTTATTAAAATACTGGACATTAAATTGCATTCAACTAAATGTTTATTCTAAAGTTTGGGCTACATTTAGGCCTATTCCTTTCTTTCTTTTCAGCAAACATCGGTGCTGATGGGTCTTTCCCTCCACCTTTAATTATCTTTGCAAACGTAAAAGTTTCAATAAATGTGTATGAGGCATTTCCAGAAACGCTTGCTGCTATTGGGAAAACTGAGTCTGGCGATATAAAAATTTATATTTTGATATATAACAGTATACTAAGACCAGTTGTTGTCTGGTCAGACAAAAATGAATCAAGAATGAATTATCATCTTGTGAAACAGCTGGCCGATCTGCAAATACATCTTATCTTGCTTCCTCTAAATACTACTCATTTCATCCAACCTCTCAATGTTGGGATATTTGCCCCATTAAAACAAGCATGGGACTTGTGTATTAAAGAATACAGAGCAAAGAACAATAATATGTACGTTACTAAGGAAACATTTGGTCCAGTTTTCCTTCCTCGTTACTGTTCTGCAATGAGCAAAGACAAAATCAAAAATTCATTTAGAAAATCTTGCATCTACCCCTTTAACCCAGAAGCCCCAGATTACAACAAACTAACAAAAGAAGTTGGGCATTCAAGCGAGGCATTTTTGTTTGAAGGTGTTTTGCAAGATGGAAAGGTGGAGTAAAGCATGCAAGTAGATCCCATTCAGAAGGTAAATGCTAGGACTCAAACCTTATCTGATAAATATTCCACTAATCTTATAGAATCACTGGGAGCAGGCGCAACTATAAAGTTGTAAGTTATTTTTACTCATCAAACTTTTAAACTATTTAAGCTTTAAATAAAAAAATCAATAGCCATACAAACATTCAATCCATTTAAATTTATGTACTTATCTGTTACAGATGTTCATTTTGATGCAATGACTCAGTCATTGAGTGTTCTTGTTTAGAACCATTGCGTTTTATCACAAGAGAAAAATGGTTTAATTATTTACAAAGAAGAAATGCAGATAGAAGTCTGTAGAAGATAATATTTATATTTCCTTTAAATTTTATTGAAATAGCATAGCCTATATTAAATTGCATGTATTCTGTAAATGTTTACCCTGACACTCCAATTTAATATTGGTTTCTTGATTTTCTTCTTTCTTTAGGCGTGATCAAGGAATTATTCTTACCTCCTCGTGCCTTTACTCCATCAACATCACTTTCTAAACAAACAGCTATAAGCAAAGCCTTACTGCATCACAGATGGTTTCCATTGCCAAAAAAGACTGTTTTTAAAGTTAGGATAGTAGCTCAAGAACTCCATGCAACATCTATCTTGACAACACCTCAAGTAGTTTTTTGTTAGGGGATATCAGACAAAAAAACAAAGATACTATTGCCGCCAAAGAAAGTTGCAAACAAGTACGATTGACAAATGCAGAAAATAAAATAAAAACACCTGTTGTTAAAAAAAAATTGAGCTGTGATGCTAAGAAAACCACAAAATCAAAGCAGAAAAATAATCCTAATTTAGTTTAAATTGTAATCATTTATCCTACGCTGTAAAATAAAAAATTATATATTATCAAACATTGTTGATATATATAAATAAGTTTCAAAAAAAGAGCAAAAAAAAGGCTACAAAATTTATAATGAGGAAGAAGGGTGATACATTTGGCACTTTGGAGTACATCTCTTGTGATTGTTGCTTACAAAAAATTAGTTTGCTTTGCTTTGCTTTTGACATATTCTGATCGAAAATATAAAGTTTGTTTCAGTACTTTACACTGCATAAATGCAACATGAATTATTGCAAAAAAGATTAAAGGTAAACATAATCAATTAATTAGCAACTTGCTGCTTAATTTTAGTTTTATGTTTCTTGTTAAAATAACTTCATAACTTAAAATGAGAATTTTAAATACTTTTATCTAAATATTTATAAGCCTAAGTATGAATAAATTAATGAATAGATGTTTTTGATTATTTAACCTAGGCTTGTTTAAAAATGTTTTTTGTAGAATTATTTAGCAATCAAAATAATTTAAATTAAAAACTTAATTATTAAAAAAAAGCTACGATTCCTTTATGTCAAAGTTAATTTAGTTAAAGGTGGAGGGAGAGACCCATTAAAAGTTAATAAAAGTTAAAACTAGAAATAATTGTTATATATTAAGCCTTTACCTTGTTATTTATAAGCATAAGTTACATGTAGTTACAAAATTTATGTGTGTAAAAAAAAGTTATAAATATATATAAAACTATTTGAAAATAATGCTTTCTGTTTACTGGATTTAATGGATTTGCATGCATCTACCTATGTATCAGTTGTTTTAAAAATAATTTTTTTTTTGATTTTTAAGCAACTATTTTTTATCATAAAGCAACTATTTTTTATCATAAAATAACATCTAGGTTATGAAGCTGCAATTCATTTGGGTCATAACAGTTTACACAAAGATAGATTTGCATCAAAATGATTTACACAAAGATAGATTCGCATCATTTCCATTATAATGTTTCACATAAAAATAGATTTGCATCATAAGGATTCATGCAAAGTGACATTTGCATCATTTGCATCATTACAGATCAAAAAAATATACCTTGTTATTCATAATTAATTAATGTTAATTGATAGTTACTATTATCACAAATTTATATTCTTAGAAAAATATTGATGGACTTCCAAATGATAATCCAACAGGCCGCCCATTTGATCAGTTGTATGTAACTGGTGATGTTCGTGCTAATGTTCAACCTGGTTTGATGGGTTTGCATTCATTATTTTTGCGTGAACACAATCGACTTGCTCAAGCCTTTCAGTACAGAAATCCAATGGTAACAAAATATACTTCATCTTTAAATTGTTTTTGTTTTTTAGTGTTAAATATTGGCAGATTAGTCTGCCTTAGTGGCCAAAGTGGTTAGCACGCTGCGCTTCTGAAGTACAATGCGAGGGTTCAAATCCTGTTGCTTGAACATTAATTTTTTTTTTTATAATTTTTTCCAATTTGATGTTATATACATAATATTTATAAAGATATTACATACTTTAACAAACAAAAGAGAGAGTTTTTAAAAAAGTCTAAAATTTAAATAAACACCAAAACAGCAGTAAAAATTATTTTTTCTTATAGGAAAAAAGATTTTAGATATAAACTTTTATTTTTTTCAAAATTAATTAACAGAGCAAGGGTGCTAATAAGCTGCGGATGGTCTGGAAAAAGATTTAATAGAAACTTAATAAAGAAAAAAATTTATAAGTGTGTACTTGGTGTTTTTTTTTATAGAAGTTCACAATTTTACAACTAGAAGTTATAAAGTATTGAACATTAATTGTTAAGTAATGCGATAGCAGTGTAGTGTATCATTTTTATTAATTTTAGCAAAGTCTGATCCTTTGTCAAAAGGATAAACACTATTAGTGTTGCTAGACTTTAGTTTTTTGAGAGCTTTAAACTTATCTTTACCTAAATTTGTAGAAAAATGTTTATGCATTTTCATCATGAACATTTAAAATTCCATCCAATTTATACTCTATATAAATTTTACACCCTAATAGTTAGGGTATAACTTACACTCTATAGTACTGCCTGGCTCAACATGGTAATTATATTTCAACAGCATTCAACAAATTAAAAAGTGAAAAGAAAACGTTGATTTAGTCTAATTGAATTCTATAAATTTACAGTATTGACTATAAAACTTTTGTTATCTAATGGAGATAAATTGATGATTTTTTTCTTGCTGTACAAATTAAGTATATGTTCACAAGATGTCCTAAACCTGTCGTCCTAAAATTTACTTGTAAATTTAAGGACCACAGGTTTAGGACATCTTGCCCACAATTTTCAATTTTAACAATTGCAACTTGCTAAAAAAAATTTGGCAGAAATTTCTTGAACTAGAAATTTGATAACATTGCAAATTTTCTTTTAATGTTACAATCAAATTTTTTGTGCTACGTTATTCGCCTGATCTAGCTGTCAATCGATTTTTATGTTGGTGATTTTTATGCTTCATGATCCTAAAAACTTTTATTTTGATATTTAACTTGTCTCTAAATAAGTTTTTTATATTTTTGTACATTTTGTCTTTAAATTTTAAGACTTTAAATGATGAATGATATTTAAGAGTTAGCAAACAAGCAAAGCTGTATATTAATCAAGAATGGGTTTGAAAAAAACTCCATGTTTAGCTGTATTATTATAATAAAGCTGTAACTCCATATTGTGTTGTTTTGATATAAAAAGCTGTAAACTTTAATCCTTTTTTCAAATTCTTTATGTTGGTGTATATACTCTTTCTGTATACCACACAAATTAATATTTACAACATACAAATTTATTGGTAAAAATAAATTATAATGATGTATCAATGTGGTTATTTGAATAAAAAATTATTTTGCCAAATTCTCCTCTTATGATATATAACAAAAATATATTATTATTCTATTAAATATTAACTCTTACTATTCTATTAAATAACTATTGATAACTTTGTTTACATTAAACATGATTTAATTCTGTGTTAATAGGCATCAGATGAAGAAATCTTTCAGTATGCACGTCATATTGTTATTGCAGAACTCCAATCTGTAACATACAGGGAATATTTACTTGCAATATTGGGTAATGTTTTACCTGCATATAATGGTTACAATGATACAGTTAATTCAGGGATTTTTAATGAGTTTGCAACTGCTGCTTTTAGGTACTTCTTAGCCTAAAGTAAAAATAATTACTTTAGGACAATTCAATTTAATTGTTTTTTATGTTTTTGAAAGTTCATTTAGTTTTTAGGATGTTTTCATTTTTTTTTTTCAGCATATATAAAATGCAATATATTCTCAGCATGTGTGTCTTCTCAGCATATATAAATTATTGGTTGGTTTATTTATGTATAATGCTTATAAACAATTGGTTGTTCTTAGACAATATATCTTATTTTATATCAAGATCTTTTTTAAAATAAGTAAATAAGTTTATTATAGTTTAAAAAAAACTTTATTACTCAAAACATAAAATAACATAAGATTTTAATTTATGCTTAAAATAACATAAGATTTTAATTTATGCTTAAAACATTTTGATTCTTGAGTATCTAGTTATAAAGTCATATTATTCAGTTTTATTTGGATACAGCAAGCAAATTAAACAGAAATTTTAGTTTCTTTTTGCATTTTTATTTGGTTTTATTTAAATGCAGCAAGCAGATTAAAAAGAAATTTTAGTTTGTTTGCATTTCTTAGTGATTTCTTGAGGCTTTTGAAAATTACTACATGTATATAAAGCTGGTATTTAGATCTTCGATAAAAATTTATTTTGAATGTATTTACTTTATTTATTTTATGATTTATTTTATAATTAGATCGATTAAAATTTATTTTGAATGTATTTTTTTTTATAATTTATTTGACAATCTAATAATCTTTTTTTATTTCTCAGAATAGTGGTAGAGGTGGTGGTTACAGTGGTGGTTAGGTGGTGGTAAAGCTCTTTCCAGAGGGCCTAAACACATAAGTTCTCAGAGATCCTAAACACATAACATACTTTATCTGCAGCTAACAATCTACCATATGATAGATTACACAATCTTATCAAATTTTATCAGTCTTTATAGTTTAAAATTTATTTTAAAGAGATATTAATTATATTCAGATTTTGTTGCAAAACTACTTTAACTAATATAGTTTTTTTTAAAACAAAAGAATATCTATCAAACAACATTAACTGGATCAACAACTTATACATCCCTTCTTCATAAACATTTTATTTTCCTTGCAGAGGTAAAATTAATCTGATATCAGCTTTGAAAAATCTGTTATAAATTAGGTATATATTGTTGTATTAGGTTCTATATTAGGTTCATTACTAAATACCTTCTAAGGCAAGGATATAGATTTATTTTAAAATAAAACTTCTTTTTATGGGTTTATTCCTATTTGTTAAAAATATTTATTTTTACAATATTTTGAGGGAATATTAATACTCTTATTATCAAGTATATGAAAAAAAAAGGATTAATTAAATTGATATGAAAATATATTCTCTCGTTGTTATCATAGCTTGTTACCATAGCTTGTTACCATAGCTTGTTACCATAGCTTGTTACCATAGCTTTCACTGAAAAAAAAAGTTAATTTAGATTATTTAGATTTAATTTATTTTCACAATTACCACGTACAACAAACTAAACAATCGTCACGTGCAACAATCTAGTAACATCACTAAGTAACGTTAAAAACAGTTAACAAATTCAAGAAAAAATACGATCTCTTAACAAAAAACAAATAGTTAACTAATTGCTACTCTAGCAGGATTACAATAATTCTACTCTGCAAAGATTTGTAATATCTATGCTGTAGAAATAAATAAATCTTTACATTCATTTTATGTAACAAACTGAAAAATCATCATACACAACAATCTTCACAGTCATCACATTTAACAAACTGAACAATCATCATGTGCAACAATCTTCACAATCATGACATGCAACAAACTAAACAGAAAAGAGTCCATTTTGTAACAATTTTTCTTACATTAATTAAAAAGCATTTCATATTTGCAGTTTTTTTTCATCCTGAAAGGGATATAAAATTATAAAAAGGTAGCTTGCTGATTGATTAGAAGTTACATTTTTTCCAAGTTGTATAAAAATAAATAATTTTTGTTATTTTTTATCATATATTAGAGAACATTACTTGTTTTTTATTTCCTGTATTTTCCTGCAAATATTTGCAGAGAAATGCAGCAATAGATTTATTTGATAGAAATTCTTACTTAGTGGTTAAAGATTGTTTATGTTTCTTTAAAGAATACCCTCATATTATCAAAATCAATAAATAAATGCTGTAACATGCAGCATTCCTTTATTGATCTTGATCAACGCTTAACATGCAAAAGTGAAATGCTGCAACATGCATAAGTGCAAGCAGTCAATATAAAATGTCTACAATGTAATATGGTTTCCATAAATGAAGAAAAGCAAAGCAGCTATTTTAAAAGTTCCAGAAGCTCTGTTGAACTAAACAAAAAGTGACTGAGGAATTCCATGAATTAAAAAAGATGGCTGAAAAAAATATTGAATTCACTATTTAGTTTAAAATGAATAATTTTTTTCTCATAATTTATTTTTTCTTATAATTATGAGTTGAGTTTATAGCTTTTGTATTGTTTTTTATTTGCATTATGCTTAATTATCATTTGCAATATTAATAATTTATTATGAGTTTTTATTAGCTGAATTCAACGATTTTTATGTACTGGTTTGCTTTGAATATTCTCTTTTATATCTTTTTAAAATCTTTTGTCCAATAATTTTTTGATATACATATATCTTGCTAGGTATTATTTTTTTGACATTTTATGCTGCTACTTAAATGTTTTGGTTCCATTTTGGTAATTTATTCTGCATGTATAGAAATTGCACAAGGTTTTTTACTTAAAATAAAGCAGCCTTAAATTCTAGCACTGTCTCTTAGCAACCTAATATAACAATACAAAAAACTTTTTTTTGCATTGTTATATTAAATTGTTATATCAAACTTTTCAACCAAAACTTTTATTTTCCTGTTAATTACTTCAAAGTTAAATTTATCTTTTTTTAATAATCTTCTTCCGATTTTTTATAGTCTCTTCATACACCATTTTCATCTTGCCACTATATTTTCATCTTGCCACTATATTTTTTATCTTGCCACTATATTTTTTGCAATCAACAATGATTTTCTAACTGTTGCATTAACAACTTTTGTTTAGAAGAAACATGTACTATTATTTTTGTGATGACTATGCATATTTTTTATTTTTTATATTAAGATTTGGTCACAGTCAAGTAAATTCTTTGATATTTTGACTTAAACCAAATGGAACCCCAGTAAATGAAGGACATGTTTTTTTGCGTGAAATGTACTTTAGACCTCATCGTCTTGAATGAGAGGGAGGCATTGATCCTTTATTATGTGGAGCAGTATATTTTAGAGCTCAAGAAGTTGATTTATTAATTGTGGATGAAATGCGCAATAAGTTGTTTCCAAGCTCAGCTGCAGCTACTGGCACACAAACTGGTTTTGACCTTGCTTCAATAAACATTCAACAAGGTAGAGATCATGGATTAGCTGATTTTAATACAGTTCGAAAGTACCTCGGTCTGCCAGGTAAATAATTTTATTTTCTTCTTGCTTTTTCGATTTCCAAAAACCAATAATAGTAATTGTGCTTATTAAAACTTAAATCTACATTAATACAAGACAAGGTTAGATAAAATGGTTTTAGTTTTAATAGTTTAAGAAATATTTAAAAGAATTCCTTTTTTTTCTTTCTTATCATTCTTCATTTTAAGTTATAAGTAATAAATAACTCTCTTAATTTCTCAATAAAAATGAAAGATGAAAAATAAAAATGACAGAACAAGATCTACAAAATAATAAACATTAATGTAATCATTAGAGCAAACAATAAAGTTGTAAAGAAAGTTGGTTGTAAAGTAAGTTGTTTGTAAAGTAAGTTGGTTGTAAAGTAAGTTGTTTGTAATGTAAGTTGGTTGTAAGGTAAGTTGTTTGTAAAGTAAGTTGTTTGTAATGTAAGTTGGTTGTAAGGTAAGTTGGTTGTAAAGTAAGTTGATTGTAAAGTAAGTTAGTTGTAAAGTAAGTTGGTTATAAAGTAAGTTGTTTGTAATGTAAGTTGGTTGTAAGGTAAGTTGGTTGTAAAGTAAGTTGATTGTAAAGTAAGTTGGTTGTAAAGTAAGTTGGTTATAAAGTAAGTTGGTTGTAAAGAAAGTTGGTTGTAAAGCAAATTAATTGTAAAGGTTTTAAATTTATTAAGTTCATCAATAAAATTAATTTTTTTTTTCCTGGGAAAGTTGGAAATGGTGTCGATATTGTTTATTCCATTATTTTAATGCTTCTTAAATATGAATTTATTAATTTAGACAAATGAGTAAAACATTTAGTCTCCATAGTGATTTCATTACTTTTTATTGCGTTTTTTCTTTCATGACTGCTCCAAAAGTTTGGCATAAAATTATTCCAATTTTACATTTACATAAAGTTATAACAAATTTTACATTTACATAAAGTTATTTTAAAAAATTTATTGCTGATAAATATATTTTGAAAAGATGATTTTTTTAATTGAGTAAGGATTTCAACTTAATACTATTATTGAGCAATATGGCTTGTGTGTTTAGAGTCATAGTTTTCTTGAAAGATAAATGATTAAATTGACAATTTAAATTAAGGTTGTAATAATAAATGATTTTTTCAATTTTAAAATAAATATTTATAATTGCATGTTTTTTTTTGTATATTACTCACCTCCCCAAGGCCAAGACAGCCACTACAGTCTAAGAGCCTACTTTTTATAGTTACAACCCTCTCTAAATTTTTTATCTACGAAACATGTACCTTGACAAACAAGACTGCTGCATGGGGAAACAAGTTAAGAATGGTGCTACCTGGGATTTTAAAAAAATTTAAAAGATTTTACATGGAAATATTTTAATTACTTACAAACATTTAACTTAATTTGGTTATCAACTTTTAAGAATTTTCACCCAGTGCACTAAGTATGTAAACAAATAAATTATTAAATTAATTACTAAAGACATGTGCTGGGTTGGGGGTCCTAAATGTTATTTAACCAAATACATGCCTTTGAATATTTTTTATTTAATGTGGAAAAAAAATATTTTTACAGCAATAAGATGTTTTTGGATTTTTTAAATCTGTTCAATGTAAAACAGCAAGTAATTTAATTTAGATGTGTGGCAAAGTTGAGATATATAGGTGGGTTTGAACTCTATATTAAAAGACTGATTTTTTAATGCAGTAGGACCAGATTTTCTATTTTTAGTTGAAACAAAGTTTTAAGAAAATATGTTTACTGTGAAAACTTTTGCATATTTTATTCTTTCATTAAAATATTTATTTCATTTTCATTTAAAACAAAACTTTTTGTTAAAGCGTACAAGTCTTTTGAAGAGATAACATCTGATAGGGATATTGCAGAGAAGTTAAAATCATTATATCAAAGTGTTGATAAATTTGATTTGTGGGTTGGAGGCCTCGCTGAAAACCATGTTCTAAGATCTGAACTAGGAAAGACTTTTCTTAAGATTATTTTAGAACAGTTTCGAAGAATTGAGATCGATTTTGGTACGAAAGGATTTTAACAAAAGAAGTATGGAATATATATTACTTAATATTCTGTATATTTAATATATATGTATATATATATACATATATACACACATACACACACACACACACACATATATATATATATATATATATATATATATATATATATATATATATATATATATATATATATATATATATATATATATATATTAGGGTTTTCATTTTTTAATTTTTTATAGTAAATGTTTAGACCATATGAGTTTTAAATGTGTTGGCCCTTGTATAAAAAAAATACAAAAAAGAAATGAAAAATTTCAGTTTTTAGATTTTTTGGATTTTAACTACAAAAACCAGTTTTTGGGTAAAAAATGTGGTATATGCAATTTGTTGCAACTTTCGACCTGTAGTTCTGATTGACTCAAAAACATCTTCAATCAAATCATTCCAAATACCTCTTATTAGTTACCTAGATCATTTATACTAAAAACTTATAATTCTAAAAGTATTTTTGCTATACTTTGTTGTAATATCTTGCTGACAATATTATATGACTGTATTATAGGAAAAAAAAGGTTCTATAAGTTAGTTAACCACAACCCCAAACACAACCAGTTAGAAATATAAAAAATCATTTATAAGTTATTTATATGAGTTAACTTAGTTATCCTAATGATATAATAAAGTTAGAATTTATTGCTTAAAAAAGCTTAAGCAAGTTTTGTTTAGGTTCTAAAACAGAAAAAGGTTTTACGTGAGCAATTGTTGCCTTTTTAAACCCTTTATCATTTCACCTTTCTTGTCCATAAACTATTTCAGAAGGCCTTCTAACTTTCTTAACAATTTTTCTATGGAAAATAAACTTTAATAGCTTTTGTTATTTAGTTTTTGATCATTAGATAAAGTTTTTAAAGTATCTTCATCAATATCTAATAGATTAGTTTCAATCTTGAGTTACATTAATGGAAATTTCGAGACCATTGGGGCAATAGGGACAATTTTACCAAAAAAACTTATTGATTGAAATTGTCTTCCGTCAATAACTGACATTAAGTGCCTCAAAGGTAGTTTATTTGTGTGCGAGGCGAATAATTATCCAAATAAGTTTAGTTTAAAGTCTTTTTTTTTTAAAAATGAATACCGCTTTTTCAGCCTTAAAAAAATTGATTAAATATATGCATGGCATTTGTCATCAAATATTTACCAGTATTAACATTAGTTTTTACCATAATTAATACAAATCGCAGCCAACAGCAACTAGAGCTGATTCATACTACGTTCTATAATATTTTTATATACATGTTCTGCTATGAGCTCTGCTGGGGTTATAAACACAGATCTTTTTTCTTTATCATTTGTAAAAAGGTGCAGATATAAACTACCTAGCTCTGCATAAACTGATTTATGGTCTAATTGTACAAGTCTGCGTGTCAAAATTAACTATCTTCTCCAATCAAAAAAAATTTGTCTTATCCTTTCTCCCATCATAATTATAACATTAATCTTCAACTTTTTTACTATATTATAATTTTCAGATTTTAATTGTTTCATCACTTTTAATTTAGAGCATTCAATTTTCTTGTGGTTTGTCAATGTTTCACTGTCAGTCACATTGAGTCAGTCAAAAAATCTGCATCTTTAGCTGCTTTCAGTGTTAACGTTTAAATTGCAACAGTTGTTCTGTTTGATACAATAATAATGCTAATGCAACTTTTTTCATATTCAATGATATTTTAGAAACTTGTACTTGGAATTATTTTCATCACCTTTTCAAAATTGTATATCTCATTATTTTTATATAAGGGCTAACATTAATTGTATTCTTACATGTTTCAAATTCATTTCTTGAATTTTTAGGAAATTAATGAAGTTGAATCAATAACACTTTCCCAAATTATAAAACTTAATACAGGTTACTATGATTGTCCAAATGATGTTTTTTTCTCTTCGAAAAACTGTTTTGGTTCCAAAGATTATCAGTGCATCCCTAGAGATCTTGGATTGGATAAAAACAAAGACTCTAATATACTAGATTTGATAAAGAAAAATCAAGAACAGTTGAAAGAAATTACTATACTTACCATAATTATATTGTTGTTTGCTTTTTTTTCCTTGTTGTTCTTATCTTGTATTGTGCAAAGATTAAAAAAGGTAAAAAAAAAAATACTTTTTAGTGAGATTTTTGTTTTTACATCGACAGCTGAAGTTGTACATTTTTGTAGCAAAAACAAATGTTCTTAACATTTACAACTATATTTTATAATTCAGCTCTACCAGTTCCAGATTAAGGCTTATGATAATAATTTTTCAAAAATATTTTTTTAATGCAATGAAATAAAATAATGTTTTGATGTTGCATAGTATTATATTAAAATAAAGACGTAATTATTATATTATAAATTGTTTCTCAAACACAGCTTAGTTCTGTGAAAGTGCATGAATAAATTTTGACTGCAAAAATATTAACATTGTTTTTAAAAACTGTTAATTTTTGAATGTAATGCATAAACATAAAATGCAATCAGTGTGAAAACTGTATTGTTAGAACAGAAATTGAAATTAATCTAACTACATTAAACACTGTCGTGGCTAACTTTTTAAGCAAAACTGTACTTTTGCCAAACATTTCTTTTAAAGATTTAAGTCATAAAGGTAGTAAAAGTAGTCAAATAAAATTTTCTCAAAATCTTAGCAAAATATAGGTGTTCTTAAATAAAAAATATAGGAGGTGTTCTTAAATGTTTCAGTCACTTTATTGATATTAAAACATTTTTAGAGGTGAAAACCTTTTGAATACCCAGAGTTAAACTATAGAATTGGTTACAAAAATTTATTTTGGGTTATGATAGCTTATTTTTACAATCTTAAAATGCAATTGCAAGGATGAGAAAATACTGCAATTTTGATTTTAAAAAATAAAGTTTCTTTTTAATGTCAATTATCTTTGTCAAAATATCTATAAATATGTCAAAAATGCTTATTAAAAATAACTATTTTTGGCTGCTATTAAAAAGATAAAAAATTCTTTTTCAAATCGTTTTATAGAGTTCAGAAATGAAAAATTTGGTTTTTTATTTTTGACACATCCACTTACTGTAAATTCCAACGAAATAAATTTTAAACCGTTCAAACTGGTCAATAGAGCTTTGCAAACAGAATTAAAAAACTTGGAAAGAAATAAAGAATAATTTTCATTAAATCATAAATGAAAAGAACCTTCAAACTCTCAAAAAGAAATTAAATTTGAAGCATGGAATAATTTTTTAAAGAGTTTTTAACAACCAACCAAAGCTGGTGGCATTTGGACTCTTGACAGTATTCAGATCAACATATTATTGTGAGCAGATATTTTGCAACATAGACGTATATACATACATATATATATATATATATATATATATATATATATATATATATATATATATATATATATATATATATATATATATATATATATATATATATATATATATATAGTATCAGACAAAACAAGTGCAACCAAATAATGCTAATTTAGTTTCTTTATATAAAAGTGCTGCATTTTTTCAATTTAGAGAAATAACTATGTAACTGTTTAGAGACAACGTTCTTCAAGTTTTATTCATCTCAAAGTTCATTATTTGTACACGAAAATTATTAAATTAATCAAAAGTATTAAAAAAAGTTGATTTCCTTCTGGATAAAACAAGTGCAACTCCACAAAATGTTGTCCAAGCTGTCATTATTTCGTAATGAATCCTTTGTTGTTGATCACAGCCTTGCATCTTCGAGGCATAGATCAGGTGATCAATAAAACTTTGTGGAATCGCTGCCCAGGCCTTTTGGATTTGTTTAAATAGTTGATCCTTATTACGAACACCTTCACGATTAATTCTGCGGTTAACAATCTCCCACAGGTTCTCGATAGGGTTGAGATCCGGATTGATTGAGGCGGCCAATCCATCACCGATAGAAGGTTGTCTTGAAACCACTGCTTGACTACTTTTGCAGTGTGTTTCGGATCGTTGTCTTGCTGAAAAACCCATTTTATTGGCATATTCCATTCAGCATGAGGTAACATAATATCTTTCAGGATATTTTTATACATGAAAAGGTCCATTATTCCATTGATATATATATATATATATATATATATATATATATATATATATATATATATATATATATATATATATATATATATATATATATATATATATATTGATATATCGATGTATTGGACCTAGACCGTTAGCAGTAAAACACCCTTAGACCATTACATTGCCTCCACCATGCTTCACGGTCTTATGGCAGTAACGTAAATCAAGGCGTTTTCTGGCCGGTCGACGCTCACGACAAATGCTATCGCTCTTAATGATGTTGAACTTCGATTCATCACTGAACAGGACAGTTTGCCATTTCTGCACATTCCAGTCAACATGAGATGTAGCAAACAGGAGTCTTTTCTTCTGGTTCTTTAGTGAAATCAGCGGTTTCTTTGCAGGGCGTCGAGAAAACAATCCGGCTTCAACAGCACGTCGTCTGATTGGTCGGACCGATACAGGCAGCTCTAATTGCTTTTGTATCTCGGCTGATGATATCCAGGGATCTTTCTTGACGGATCTGACGATCATAGAATCCTCTTTAGAAGTGGTAGAACGTGGTCTTCCACCTTTGTTATCTGCTGCCAACTTCCCCGTAGAACGATATTTGGAACATAGTCTTAATGCGGTCCATTTTTTCACGCGATATTTATCACAAATACTTTTTTGTGACATTCGACTTACGTTATCGCCAATATTTTTCTTTCTTAGTTCCAATCCAAGACCGTTGGGAGCCATTTTTGCACTTGAAGTCATAAAAATAATAAAAATAAATAATCACGTTTCTCAACGCTTATCGTGTTACATTTACCTTGTGGTGATACAATAATGCTCTGTGGAGCACAACGTCTTGGTTGGATGTGGACTGTATTGATGTAATAAAACACTTGTTGTATTTCACTTCTTGTATTGATGTTCTTCGATAAAACACATGTCATGGCATGCTATTACTCCAGACTCCTGAACTGTTTGCTGTGGTAGTATTGTTCGTTTCGTTTTTAAGACATGTAAAATTAGAAACACTTTTTAGCATTATTCGATGTTGGTTGCTAATGTTTTGTCCAATACTGTATATATATATATATATATATATATATATATATATATATATATATATATATATATATATATATATATATATATATATATATATATATATATATATATATATGTATACAGTATTTATTACATAAATACAAAGATATATATATATATATATATATATATATATATATATATATATATATATTATATATATATATATATATATATATATATATATATATATATATATTTATATATATATATATATATATATATATATATATATATATATATATAAATTTAACAGCCACACGACGAATATTTCTAGAGGAATCTATTAAAATAAAAAAATTTAAAAGAACAATTAAAACCATAAACACTTCTTAAAAATCTGATAATGCGCTATTTACAAAACTGTTTTTAAATTAAATTTCAACAAAGTTTGCAAAGTTTTTATCGGTAGAATAGTTTTATTCGGGTTGAAAGTCTGTTTTACATATGGCATATTTTAAGTAATAATATATTGTATATTAAAAATAATTGTTTCACCGTAACCAATGTATGTTAGGGTGGGCCGAAAAAAAAAATTTTCTGATTTTTGACTTGCTATACCGCAAAAAACAAAATAATATTAATATTTACGTCTGGAACTAGCGCATCGCGAATAACAGAAGAAATTTTCCCTTTTTATAATTTTCTAAAAAATGAATACAAATTGAATAAATTTTTTAGTAAATATCTAGAGTAGAAAAAAATATTGGAATGGTAAATAAGAAATCTTTTTTTATTATTTTTAAAAAAACATCTTTTCGACTAAAACTTTTTTGAAAAAATATATTCTTTTACTTATTGCTAATTTCTGTCGGTAGTTTAAAATATGATTTGCTTGAAAAAATTTGGCATTGAGGATCTGGAGTTATGTGTAGTTTTTATAATGCCATCTCTGGATTTGAAGCCAGCTACTTTTTGTGAAGCCTCTGTTAAAAGCTTTACGCATCGTTCTACTGCTTGGATGAGACATGGACACTCAGCCGCTGTTTCACCTGATAGGATCTTTGACCAAATATCTTTATCTGACACTCTTACTTTTAGCAAATCATTGGGCAAGAATCTTGACGAAATTATCATTTCAAATACATGTTCAGCTCCATTTGTGAAGTATTTACTTTTTTTATATGAAACTATTCCGGGACATATGATGAAAAGAAATTAGGATTTTGTGCTCCTCTGTTGGGGTTTCAAGGCTCAAATACAATCGTAAAACTCTGTTTGCGGTTGTTAACCACCTTGAGAGTAAAATTGCTCCAGGTTCACGAACAGATAAATCTTCAGAACAACTGCCTGGTTTAATAGCAGAACTTATATCCAACAAGAGCTGCTGATCTTTGCTTAAAATTTTGCGGTCAATTTCTGGAGTTTTACAATCGATACTGACTCCTGGTAATTTCTCGCACTTACTAAGTTGTGCGCCAATTGGACCGCTAAACGATTTTAAGCCTGTAGTTTCTCCGCCTTACGTTTGAAATAAATGCCGGAATGGCAATCCGTTTGAAGTGTAAGAGGCAAATCCCCTACTGCAGTGGTTTTTTTACATGTTTTTCAATTGTGGGAATAACACCAAATTTCCATCCCGTGTTAGTAACAGTGCCATCGCATCCGATAACGTCCAGTTCATGAAATGAAAATCCAGCTTCATTCAAATATGAAATAATGCTTCTGGCAATATTTTCAGCAGGCCCAGAAGTAAAATCGTTACTGTGGGTATTGAAGCTTTATCAAACACTGGTTTAACTTGTTGTGCGACACAATTTGAAACATAAGAAAAATTAACTGGCTTGTTGTTTGATTTAAGGCTAGTTTGTAATTTTCATTAAAGCAACACTTGAGAACTTTTTCATAAGTTGGAAGTTTATTTACAGATAATTCTATAGGATGACCAAAAATCGGGCAATTAAATTCGCTACGAGTAATTTTTTTAATAACAGCCATGGCAGGTTGGTTAATATTATCAAATAATCAAAACAAGTTGTTGTGGCGAGAAGCACACCAAT